TGTGTGTGTGTGTGTGTGTGTGTGTGTGTGTGTGTGTGTGTGTGTGTGTGTGTTTTATGTAGGTATGTGAACATATGAGTGCAGGTGCCTGTGGAGTCCAGAAGAGAGTGTCTGAGTCTCTGGAGCTAGAATTACATGTTGTGAGCCACTTATCATGGGTTCTGGGAACCAACTTCAGGTCCTCTGCAGGAACAGTTTGTGATCTTAATCTCTGAGGCCTCTCCCTAGCCTGTCTGTTTCTTAAGACAAGGTCTCACTGTATAACTTGGGGCTGGCCTTAAACTACCTCTTGCCTCAGCCTCTCAAGTGCTTGGATTATAGGCATGAGTTACTATGTGTGCCTGGCTCCAAAATGAAATTTTTAGCAACAAAATTTTTATTTAGAACATTTTACAGTGTTTAAAATTATATATTTATCTGAATAGTTATGATGACATCATTTATTTCCTCAACTACTACACTCTACCACAAGGACAGAGCACAGGTGCATTTTCTGTTCAAGATCATATACGCGTACATAATTCCATACCAGTGCCATATTATCATCACTCAAATATTTGTAGATTACATGTGAAATATATATTTTTATATAAGAATCCCAAACCAGAATTTTTTAAAATAAGAATATATAGATGCCTTATACCATATATATATGTAAATATTCACATATATATTCAGTAATATAGTAATGGCAATAAACATAATTGAGATAAGCAAAATGTTACAGAAAATGTATTAGCCTGAAACCACAATGCTCATTCATCATTAATGACTTTATTTGTAATTGACTTTCATCATGAGTCCCCAAACCAGGATTCTTGTAAATGAGAATAACATAGTTGTCTTATTAACCAAAAAGTCTTACTTTCCAAGTGAAGCATCAGTGATGCAAAGAATGACACTATGTCAAAAATGAAGTAAAATCAGTGGAAAATTATTTTCATGGTAGAACCAGGAATACTTAACAGCATAAACAAAACTGTAGAAATATTTTAAAACATGCTTTCAAATAATCAATTAGAAATCAAAAGTAAAGAAAAAAATTTTGTTTAAAATTTGGTTTATATTCACTAATGCCATTTAGCGAATGGCTACTTAAAATTATTTTCATCAGGACATTTTCCTTTTTGTTACATTATAAAGTTCTCAAAGTAACTAATAATGTAAAGTATAAACATAAAATTAATGTAAAATTATGGTGATATGTGCCAATCTACTCTGCCCAACTATATCTAGGAGCTTTCTTTTTCAAGTAACAGGGAACTGGAGATCAAAAATAAAAATGTATAAAATGGAAGTCATAGTAATAAGGCAATACTTCCATAGCTAATATTATCACTGGTATGATTTTTAGAAGCATTAAAATTCCTAGAAATTATACTTCATCATGGAAATATTTTAAAATTACATTAATTCTATGTACTTATTTTTGTCTGAAACTGTACTCATGATATACTGATTATACTATTGCCAATCTTAATGTAGAAGAAAAATGGCTGTCATAGGTGCAGATCAACAAAATTAAAATAAAATAAGCTAAATTTAGAAGTTTAACTACTCAAGTAATACCTACCTCCTTGAAATGCCATTAGCCAGACATTTGTGGCTATAGGACTTAGAGGAGAGGGGTGATGAAGTTGGAGACAAGTTGAGAGGGGCAATCAAACTGTTAATGATCTCAGTCAACTGTGCACTCTACAAAGAAACAGTTCAAACTTTAGTACAGTTAAGCATCAGTAAGATCCTGAATTTCTGTCCTGAGAATACTTATATGCTGTATTGTAGTTACTGATTTACATATGGTAACACATCTTTGCATCCCTAAAATAAAGCTTATTTGTCCATTGTGTTAGTTTTTAAAAGTATGTTCCCAGTGGCCTACTTTCTCCAACAAGACCTTACCTTTTAACATCTAACAAATCTAACAAATTATACATCTGTCAATGGGTTAATCTTCGCAGAATCTATATGATCCAATCCACTCTCAAGGATTGGGTCTATGAGATAGAGACTAAAGCTGAACACATGTGACTTCTGGAGGAACATTTGATATCTAAACCTTGCTAAACAGTTTAAGAATTAAAAACGTATATGAACTTATGTCATAAAACAGACACTCTTCTCTAAGCTTACCTGTTTCTCTATGTTTCGAAGAAGTAGGGTAGGGCTGCTTGGTGACATCTCAAAATCGTGCTCTGGTAAAGGCTCTTCACTCCTTTGGGGAACCTGAGAATTCACTGAAGTGTTTAATGAAACTGCTTGGTTTGAAAAATGTATTTGTTTTTTCAAAATGTCTTTTGGAAGCTGACATTCTTCTAAGATCACTATCCCCTAGGGGGTAAAAAACAGTAAAAGTGATCACATCCAACTGTCCTCATGGTAAACATAAGATGTAAAATTGAAAATATAGTTTATCTGTCTTAAAGAAAAAGCTAGCTGATTGGGGCTGGAGAGAGGGCCCAGCAGTTAAGAGTGTGCACTGTTCTTTCAGAGGAACTAAGTTTGGACCCCAGCACCCATGCCTGGCAGTGGGCAACCACCACAAGTCTACAATTCCAACTCCAGGGAATCCAAAATATCCTTCTGGCATATGAGAGAGAGAGAGAGGGAGAGAGCAATCGAGCAAGCGAGCTATATGAGGTATCACAGCTGCATCCTATGCTGTTGAGGCCTTCCTTCGAAGAACACCAGAACACTGGCAGTCTAATGCCTGTGTCAATCAATATTTGGCCCCATTCTTGAAACCCTGTGAGTCTGGTTTGAGAAACGCACTGCCATAAACTCTCTTGCCTGAGGATGACCTGCAGGTGCTCATCCATGACTCCCACAAGATAAAAGATATGTAGGAGCTGCAACAGCTACTTTGACCGAAAACGATCTGGGTCCAAGCCAGGTACCTCAGCCCAGAGGTACACACACAAACACAAGTGAAAATCAGCCAGTCACAAAAAAACTAAGTACTATTATGTTTCTACTGTAAACAGACATTGTTATGAGGTTATGGGGAAAGAAAACTCGTCACTGTTTAATGGGTATCCAGTGTTCAGTTTTATAAGATGAAAAGAGGCCAGGTGTGGTGGCATACACCTTTAATCCCAGCACTGGGAAGGCAGAGGCAGGCAGGCAGATCTCTTGGGTTCAAGGTCAGCCTGATCAAGGCTGCACAAAGATACTGTCTCGAGAGAAAGACAGAAAGAGAGAGAGAAAAGGAAAGAAAATGAATGCCTAATATTATTAAAGTACTTAACACTACTAAACTGTACACATAAAAATAAGATAAATGGTATCGTATCTTTATACATTTGACAATAAATTTTTAAGAGTAATTACTTATATTAACTGAAACTCAAAGTCCTTAATTGTTAAAAAGTATGACTAAATGATTGTAATATATATATATGTAAGTTTTATGAAAGTAGCATCAATTAAAAAATAATGTATGAAAATCTTAGAATAAACTAGCTACTTTCATGAAACTTAATAAAAATTATTTAATGTGAAGAAATTACACAGGTAACACTTTTAATGAAAATGAATCAACACTGACAGTACCTTGGAGGCACGAATCTGTCTGTGGATATCTGTTAGTTGCTGGATTTTGTATTCTAGCTCTGAAATCTGAGCTTGAAGCCAGGTCCATCGGCTGCCAACTCGTGCTCTGTCTACAAGCCACTTCCATTCAGTACTAGAGTTACTGTGAAAAACAAAAACAAAAACAAAAACACAAAGTCAGTTAAACACAAAGACAGTCACCTTTTCAGGGTGCTTAATAACTTCCTTGACTAGCTGCATAAAATGCAATTTCATTTACAAATCATCTATACCACATCAAGGAAAAATGGAAGATTAACTTTTTATCAAGGATAATTTGATGCCTTACCTTTCTACCACACAAATACTTGGCTTTAGTCAATATTATGTACCTAACACAATAATCCCTCTGTAATTTAATGTTATGAATGCTAAGGGCTTACATAGGCATGAACCAGTGAGGAGAATGAAATAAGAATAACATTTCCAACATCATATAAAATCTGTTCTATAAGGATTTTACATGTAAAAGTTGATGTCAAGTAGTAGACAGTCTATCTGAACTACACCTAAATTCACTGTAATGTACTTGATACAATATATATATCATTATATTAAGTACCTAATACTTGAAATTAAAGGCATTGACAATAATTTTAAAGACTTAATCCTCTGCTACACTTTCCTTTCTTTCTCTCTCCTCCTCTGCCCGTCCCCCCCCCCCCCCCGCTCCAAAACTTGGCTGGCCAGGGACCAGCTCTGTAGCCCAGGCTGGCCTCAAACTCATAGAACTCTACCTGCCTCTGACTCCCAAATGCTGCACTGAAGGCATGTGCCACCATGACCAGACTTAGAGTTCAAATAATTATTTTTTAAACATAGGTCTTCAGATGTGTATTCAGATAAACATCCTGTTAAAAACCTCATGGCTATTCACCACAGTACAGAGAACACAAAGGCTGAGCTCTACTTCCATGTATGTTTTGAAATAAACACTGAAGCTCCTCAGCTGGCCGATCTCTGGGCAGGACACCCTGAATGTGTAGTTTTTGACATTGCAAATTCATTATTTCATGAAAATATTGTAAGTGCATAAAGTAAAAAAAAATAAATGGAACTATACATGGTATGATGGAAGGAGGAAAGTGGGGAATAAGGGATAGAAGAATGAAGACAGACAGGAAAAGGGAGGGGGGAAAAAGGAAAAATTAATAGATTTAAACTGCCAAGGGGGGGGAAATCACCACAAAAAAGGTGTAACTCAGAAAAAGTAAGTATGCAATAGAAAAACATATCGATCTTTATTACCGAGACCACTGAATGTATACCACAATGAGCCATAATGATAATTACATACCAATACAGATTCATCAGTGATGGTAACTGCACTGGATGTTGTAAGTGAATTTGTGGGGACAGAGGGTACACAGTAATTCTGATACTGTTTTGCTGTGAACTACTCCAAAAGCTAAAGTTTAGAAAATGTATAATGGAAACAAAACAAATCAAACAAAAAAAGGCCAGGCATAGTGGCACATACCTTTAATCCTAGCACTCAGGAGACAGAGGCAGGCTGAACTCTGAGTTCAAGGGCATCCTGGTCTACATAGTGACTTCCAGAACAGACAGAGCTACATATATAGTGAGACCCTGTCTTGAAAAAAAAAAAAAAACAACAAGTATAACTAATAATAAATCCATAATGGAATAGTCATATAAGTCAGGCCAGAGAACATAATTGAAGAAACAATTTTTTGTCAGATAAGTAAGGCAATTACTGTAACTTTGCCACACAGAATTTACTAAGTATAACAGAATTTTATATCAGGATTTTTTTATTTGTTTGTTTGTTTTTTTGTTTTTTGAGACAGGGTTTCTCTGTTTTAGCCCTGGCTGTCCTGGAAATCTCTGTACACCAGTCTGGCTTCGAACTCACAGAGATCCTCCTGCCTCTGTCTCCCTAGTGCTGGGATTAAAGGCATATACCACGATTGCTGGGCTATCAGTATTTCTCAAAAGCCCTTTCAAAGAGATTTTAATTGCCTATAGTACAAATGAAATTATCATATGTAGCAGGGTTTCTCTTGATTGTTACATTTTCAATTTATAGTCAAAATTATAAGTTCGTAATTTTGTACATTTTTAACAAATCCCATTCTCATAAATATATAACATATATATAATATATATATGTTATATATAAATATATAACATATATATAATATATAAAATATATATAAATAAACTTTATATAGACAATATTTAGTAGTACCAAGTGCCAATCATGAAGTTTAGAGAGTAAAGCAAGAGCCTTACCAAACACAAGTTCCACAGGTGAGATTAACTTGATTTAGTATAAAATGGAAGCTACTTCAATGGTAGGGACAAAGTTATTTTCCCAGTGTGGCTACTAAAGCATTAAAGTACAACATGACAAGAAACAGGAAGACATAACGAGCTGGTGTATAAACTGCAGTCTCCAAATACCTCGTGTGCTACCCCTAGTTTGTAGCCTTCTTTGTTCTTAGGTTGGAGCCATGTGACTACTGCTAATCAACAGGCTACAAGCAAAACTGCCTGCCATTTTATACAGCCGAGGATGTTCACGTCCACTGCTGCAGAGAGAAGAGCTATAAAACCATTCTGGATAGTAGGAGGCTAGCCTAGAACATAAGCCATGGTAGATTTCTACTGTGTTAAAGCACTGAGATTATGATCGTAACTTGTTAACTCAATATTCTGACTAAAACAATCTGAAAATAGTTTGGACTACGACAGATAAATAAGATAAAGTGGGTAGAGTTCATTTATAGCCAACAGAATTACAGAAGTTCATTATAGAAGAGAACATAAGGAAAGCAAAGGTCATTTTCAATTTCTTTCATTATATTTTGCTTCAGTTAGAAAATTTCCTTACTAACATACTCAATTTGACTTGAATATGAAGTTGATGAAAAAAATATAAAAGAGAAAAAATTCATTTCTTCATATACTTTTGGGAAACACACTGTCACTGAAGTTAGTATCACAACTCACTTTTATGTTTACAAATTATATCAAGGGGTTGGGGATTTAGCTCAGTGGTAGAGCACTTGCCTAGCAAGCGCAAGGCCCTGGGTTCGGTCCTCAGCTCTGGAAAAAAAAAAAAAAAAAGACAACAAATTATATCAAATTTTATACATTGTAATGCTAGACTGAATTTAAATGAACCAAATCATGCTGAAGCTTTGTGATGTGTTCAGTGAACTTTTTATGATGGATAATTTATCCTACACTTTACTAGGAATGATTAAAAGCCTGTTTGCAAAATATAAAGGGGGTGCACAAGCTTTTTCATTCAAATTGTTTCCTTGCTGAAAAACATGTTTTTCTTGTTTTTTTGCCGCAAACATGTAACAGATAGCACTTAAGTCAACGGCTGACATTTTTGACGACTGACGGCTGTTGCATTTAAAGTAAAAATGTTTTATATAAACAACATATAAACAATGATGTAACTATAGTATAAACAAAATCAGAACATGGAGGATATATTAAAGAGCCCATACAATTTGAGGCATATGTAATTAGTATATAAGTTTGGGCTGCTAATCCTCTAAGAATAATGGCTTCCTGCATCTCAAAACTGTGCAAAAGTGGCCACAGACCACTGAGCATTGGTGGTATTCCCATCTCTAGTAAAGAACAAGGCAACAGCATCTGTACATGGAGACCCCTTGGGCTGTGAGAAACCATTAATCTCCCAAAGGTAGACTATGCCTTAAACTTCCATCCTTGCTTGCCTGTAGTCAACACTTAACTTGTTGGTGGAAATATTACAAGGTTCTTTTTCTTAAAATGTTGTTTCCTTTCTGGGTGTTGGCCTGCATATATGCATATAAATCACCTACACATATATATCACCTACACACCCAGTGCCACAGGAAGCCAGAAGTCAACATGGGGCCCCCAGAACTGGAGGTAGATGCTGAGAAACAAACCCAGGCCCTCTGCAAAACCAGCAAGAGCTCCTCACCACTGTACCAACTCTTCAGCTCCAGCATTAATACCTGAACCTAGAGTCTAGAGTTTGACTTTGAAGTGTAGTTGCAAAATAAGAGCTTTCCAGTATTACATCTAGAATACCAAGTCTTAAGGAGAGACGTGTATAATTTCATCTTTCCTTTAACACCGGGTTTTGTTAGCTCACTAATACAGCAAATTGATGACTAAAAAATGAGAGACTATCTAGTTGAAAGAAATGACCACGAGAAAAAAAAAGAGAAAGATTTGTTATAAAAAATAACTTGGGTCAACCTTCTTAACTGGTATTTGCTCACCTAGAAAAATCTTCTTCCCTGGAATTGGGTTTCTTTAGATCGGTGGTTAGCAAACTTTTTCTGTGAAGAGGCACACAGTAAACACTTTAGGATCTCTTTAACGATGCAACTCTACACGTGTAATATGAGAGTGGCTCTAGGCCATGCACATCATGGGTGGCTGTGCTCCAATTTAACTATTTTCAAAACAGGAACTAAATTAGCTTTGGTTCACAGGTCTATTTGCCAACACCTGTTAAAGATTATTTTCTCATATGCACCTTCTGCTTTCCACAGGCTTAGGAGGAGTTTAATTACATTCCTATACAAATATCATGTCCACATTTGACTGGGCTATCTTATTGGTGTAATTCCTCTATTAAGTTAACCTATTAGTCATATTTCATTCACAATCTATAATGGCTACAGAGGAAAATGTTAGATAACCTAAGGGTATGTATGTTTACGTAACATTGCATTCTGAGGTTTTGTCTTGAGAAAGGGCCTATGTAGCTCAGGGCTGATAAGTTGTCAATTACTGTAAGCGGGTTTTACTTTTGGTATTTAAAATTTGAATGTTAAATCAACTTTCTTTCTTCCTCTCATAATGTATGCGGTCATGATTAAAATACTGTGCCAAATTCTATCTGATACTTAATTTGGATGGTTTAGTGGCTAAAACATCCTTTGGTGAAAGGAGCTACATCTCTGCCGCTTTCATTTTTGTTATGGTGTCAGAAACAAGCTAATGCTGGCCTCCCTAGAAAACTGGGAAGTATTTATTTCTACTTTATGCTTTCAAGGAGTTTTTGTAGTATTGGAATTATTTGTACATCCATTTCAAAAAATTAATCAGTGAAAATTT